ACGACATTTAGACTGGCGACATTTGCTCTGGTGCTTCAATTGACCCATTCCGTTTGCCACACATGGACGTGAACAAATAAGGGCCGAAATGAATTTAACTCCGTTATGTATTGAAATTTATTGGACCCAGCGATGTGTTTCCCGATCTGTTAATGAAAGGAAAACATGAAAAGCTTATCTTTCGGAGCAAATTGTAGTCGAATGAAAGCAACGACTTAATATATGTTTGTAGTGAGTATGTAACTCTCTGTACATATTTATGTTGTTGTAGTCATTAATACTGATTGATGTTCTTTATCAGGTAAAACCTTAAGACGTTTTGAATATATTAAATAACATAAATAATGGTAATATTGTGATAAAATTGAAACTGATTACATTTTATTTCCACTTGTTTTATCATTCCACTTGTTTTCCATTTTATCATTCTGAACGTGGCATTAATATGTCATTTGTTTTCTTTACTAGAAAAATAGATAGATAGTAAACCTGTTATTTTGGACAGGACATAATTAATATTCCGCAAAAAATCTAACTATAATAAGAAAACCGGTGAAATCGTGGAGATAGTCAGCTACACGAAAACATAAACGGATCGAATCACCGTGCACCATGTAATCCGCATCCTGCCGCGTATGTACACGCGAATAATTCAACAGTGTGATCGCCATTCTATGAGCAAACAGATAGTCCTCACTTCCGACACATGTTTCCGTGGCCGACACAAGTAACTGGTCACGTAGAATATTGACGCCTCCAGCTATCCATTCGCCCGACAATACCTACGGCAGCGCTAAGGGAGACATTTTTATGCGGAACTTACGTATATCATTCTAAACATTCGGTGAAGAATAACGAGGAGTCTTCTTTGCTTTAAATTCTGTGAACGATCCCGTTTGTGATTGTAATCTGTTGGTGTTTGAAGTTGGTATCGATTTTTGGACTGGATATTTGTGACTGGACTTTGATTGATTCTAGGTGATACTTAATTGTGAATAATTCCATCATATGTAGATACTACACTGGTCATCATACTCATAATTTGAATATGAATAAATCTGTACTAGATCTTGTACATACATGAGACATGAAAGTAGAATATATAGTCAAAGTTCTGTACCGGCATTATGAAAACCGGACCGATAACACAAAAAACAGGATACTTAATAAATAAAAAAACAGGACTCTCTGATCTAACATGCAAAGTTTCTGCTTACCAAGATTCATAGGCACATTAAACTGTCCCCAAACTTTAGGTAGACACTACTTGCCTAGTTTTGCTCTATTACTTCTTCACTGTTTTGCAGCTCTAGTTATGCTGGTCACTACTTAGTGACCGAGTATGAGGACTGCCTCGGACTGTTAAAAAAATATTATTAGTTTTTTTTTTATTTCGAAATCTTTGAGTGTCGATTTTGAAAATAGAGCGTAAGTCATATGGCATACTGGTTTGATTTGCTAATCTGCTAAAAATAAATTAATTTTTCTATTGAACTAATGTAATTGGAAGTTTGTGAGGGTGTATGAATATATGTATGTGTACATCTGTCAGTCTTTCAAGCAAAAACTACTGAACGCATCTAAATAATACTTGGAACACAATCATATGCTGAAATTATACGTTTTATCCCGGAAACAAACGAAGCCACTGACAGAACCAAGTTAATTACATTATTTAATAGAGATAAATTGTTATCTTTGTATTAATGAAATTTAACGTACTTTTAATTACATTGATCAATATTTATAAGCGACAGTCAACCTAATTGAATGTCTGTCACAACAAATTATGCTGAAATAAAATATCATCGACCTTTTGCATTTAACCCTTACTGTAATTTTTGATGTAAAATAAATGTTGACTTCATCTGTCTGCTGATGACTATTAAGTGCGTTTGTGAAGCTAGAGCTCCTGAGTTCGATCACTAAGACAACAGTATTTCTAGATTTTTTTTTGAGGAGACAAAATTATTGTTTATCTATTATATATAAAGACAAAATTATAGTTTATCTATTTAACTACATATTATAATAGCTTCTCCAGCCTGGGTGAGGCGGCAGGGAATCAGACTCTTATTGACTAAAAACCTTTTTTTACTCTAGTATCCTACTTTCAATAACAGTTCTGGTTTTCTTGTGTTTAGATTTAAAATTTAGTAAATAGTATTTATTGCAATGTCATCATCATATAACCATAATCGTTCACATCATTTCTAAAAAGATCTTAATATAAATTTTTAGATATCGGCATCAAGCATGAACTCTTCTTACACAGAGTAGGTTTTAGCATTAATCACCATGCTTGCTCATTGCGGGTTGGCGATTTCAAACTTATAATTAGAAATCATAAGCTTAGGTTTCCTCACGATGTTTTCCTTCACCGTTTGTCAGGGGTGTCTATATAATCTTCGAAAGTACATGTAACTCGGAATATGTCGCGTTGGTACTTGCTGTTAGTGGATTTGCACCCACACCCTCATGCATGAGAAGCGGGTGTCATACATAAAATATTGATTTGGTTTCGATCCCAGTAATACACATTACTTTAATAAATCAATATAAATAATGCACTAGATATGAAACGACTTGAAACAAATGAAAATAACCTCTAAACCTTTAAGTAACAAAGGTTCAAAGTGAAAGATAATAATAGTAATTCAGAAGACGTTAGCTCATTATTAAAGCGAGTCAGGTTCGAACATTTAGTCTCAAGGTACACCATTAGGTAGGTAAAGTGTGGGGGGCGTTATGCTAATGTAATCGACAATCGTATTCACTGAACTGCTAATCGTGGTAACATACATACTGATTTATTTTACTACGTACCTACTAGTTCTTTGGAATGTTCTAGAAGGACTATAGTTTTGGATATTTATAGCAAATACAAATAAGTAATCCTTAACACAAACAAGTAATCCTTTGGTACATAGATATAAGGTATTTTTTATAAACCTAATAAATTTTTTGGATAAGTTTTGTTAGTAGATATTTTGAGTTGTGTATGACCATAAAACGCCTTTGTCTTTAGGTGAAAACCAAGTGTGTTGCAAACTGAAAATTTATATTTAAAAAAAAAAGTAAAAATCGAGTGTGATCACTCGCAGTGTCATGTAATGCCTAGTTTGTCGCGGAGAACCTAACGGATTACCGAGGCTCCGGCTCGACGTGCAGGAGAAGGAACGGGGTAGTTTTTAGTCAGTAAGAGTCTGACACTCCCTTCCGCCTCACCCAGGCGGGAGCAGTCATTCGATGATTTTACTATGATTCGATTATGTTTATCAGCTTATTCGCGTAATTATTTGACGAGGAACTCGACTAGTTTCAAGCCATGCTACAGGCTCATATTCATGAGCAATCCGCGACCTGCAACACGGCGATTGCGCGCTCTACTAATTATTACATGAGTAAGCCGAAAAATATAATAATTAATTTAGTAGATCTCACGAAAGTTATAACATAAATCTCCCAAGCTGTACTTTTAAATAAGCGACTAACGTTCACATCAAGCACATTGAAAACTATTATAAATCCGGATAATTCTGGTTATTTGAATACAATTTACTTCGCAGTACTTCCCGGAATTTACTGTTCATTGTATACAACAACTATTTTTGGAATGGACGGAAATTAATTTGCAAGCAGTCAGAAGCAACATTTTCTACGTCGAATAGATGTTTAAATTTATTATATACCTACTTACAAAAATTTAGTAATTTTGAATAATATCGCTAAGAAAGGCCCCGAGATGAATCAGTTTCACCTAGTATTCTATTAGTTGATTACTAATGTCAAGGTGATTATGATAAAAATTACATGTAATGTAATGCCTAATAATACATACACAACATCATGCCTTTTATACCCGAAGGGGTAGGCAGAGGTACACATTTTGGTTATAATGCCACTGTACAATGTAACACCCACTTTTAATTATTGATGTTATGAGTCCCATGTAATCTATTACATGGATATAGGGTGAGCCTATTGCCATATACCGGGCACATTTCCAAACACCGTGCTACTACAAAGGTTTTTTTAAACTTTACCCGACCCGGGAATCGAACCCGAGACCCCTTGTTCGGCAGTCGCACTTGCGACCACTCGGCCAACTCGGCGAGGCAGTCTAATAATAATAATTCATAATTTACACAAACAAAAACGAGCACGCCAAAATGATCCTTAAATCAACAAAAACTTAAAATAAATCTAATAAAAATTCGAGAGCAGATTTTGCAGTTTTTCACATAAAAGGTCATAGGGAGTAAGAAATAATGTTATAAAATAACCCGTTAGAATGCCAGCGTTGTAAATCCGAGGTTAGCTTAATCTCAGGAGAAACGACTCGACAGTGAAACCTTATAACTTTCTTCTCCTATAAAAACTGCATTCCTATTTGCTTTGAGACTTCCGAGAATCCAACCACAGCTTCAATCGACTTTAAAATCTGAAAATATTGCTACTAAGTCCATTTTCGATTTAGCATTAGAACTAAGTAGGTAGTAAGTAACTGAATTCGTTCAATGCTAAGAGTTATGGATGTTTTTTAGAAAATAGTTTTTTAGATATTGGATTTCATACTCTACCATTTTATGAGAAAACAAATAACAAGATGGTAAAAAATTTGAATGTTTATATTTCGAACCGAACCGAACGCAAGGAGTCGCGGGTTTAATTCCCAGGTCGAGCAAAGTATTACTGGAATTTTTCGAAAAATCTCAGTAGTAGCACGGAGTCTGGAAATGTGCCCGGTATATGGCAGTAGGCTCACCCCTTATTACATGGGACTCATAACATAAAATAGTGAAATATGTTCATCGTCGATAATCTAGGATACCAACTACAAAATAATTTTTCAAATGGGTCCGATAGTTTCGGAGTCTCTTCAAACAAGCAAACAAACAAAAAGTCAAATCTTTCCTCTTTGTACTATTAATGTAAATTATTTTATTTACTTTGACTATTTTCAAATGAATTTATTCTAATATTAACATTTGTTTCAGCCCTAGGTCTGGAGCCGGACTTTTTGTATCCTCTGGAGAACGTGACCATCGCCCAAGGTCGGGACGCGATGTTTACCTGCGTGGTGAATAACCTTGGCGGTTACAGGGTGAGTGGCGACTCCGCCACAGCCAGGGTGTGTATCAAACCTACTCAATACAGCTAACCCTAGAGGAGCACCGTCACAGCACTTTTACTATGAGATCTATAATTTAAAATTTATTAAATATTCCAGTAAATTACTACTACTAATTTTTGTATCCTAATCTTATTTTATTTCTGAACTTTTCTTCAGTCTTAGACATTAAACTATATCTTGATTAATTTATAACTTCCACCTATTTAGTACTTGAATGCCCTCTACATAGTTCAGAAAGGCATGTTTTCTCTTCAACTTAGATTTTCTTACTTGTCTCTGATTGAACAAAGAAATTATTTTTCACCGCTAATAATAAGTACTCTTTGTAATACATGATTGATACTTGGATCCAAAATGACTGTAATAAACAGAATCATACAACAACTTTACTGGAAACCCATAAAAATTATAGATCTCAGCGAATAGACTGCACTACTTCCACACTTCTTAGCACACTACCTTCAATGCACTTTCTTCAGCACTCTTCGAAACTCACAGCACCACTTTATAGATCTCTATCCTAGAATAGAGTAACACCGGTACTATATTTGCACAAGTCTACTCTAAGTTTGTCCACATAGTCGTAGTGTTGGCACACTGTGCACAACTGCATTAGACACTAACACTTGCACATAGAGACTAAGATCCAAGAATGTGATAAAAACAGTGATTTATGCAACAGGGAACGAACGGCACTATTCTTGGGTTTTAAACACTAATGCACAATTCTGTTTTATTTTGGAACACACGTTTTAAGCATGCTTTTTTAAAAATTGCACTTTATTTCCTAACTGACTTATATAATTTAGCGATGCACGTCTGTCGGTTTTACGTTAGTCAATCATTGTCGGACAAAAACCGCAGCCCGCTATGAAGGGATCACTTTAGTCCAAGGAATTTACGTTGCAAAACAGTCACTTTAGGAAATTAAAATAAAGCCAGGACAAACCCCCACGGTCCCCGTTCAATCATTTCGAGAGGCGGTGCTCTCAAACTGTCCCGGGAGTTAATCTAGTATACTATCATTATGATATACGACAACGTATCGTGTGCGATATATCCTGGCTTGTATCAAATCGAGTGTCGGCCATAAAATTGCGAATAATCTTATTATTGCTATGTAGATCACGATAGTTGACACACTTTTAATATTATATTTCTTTCTTAGCAATACGTTAAAAGACAAACAATCAAACTCATAATATTTATTTCTTGCATGTTTCTTTTTGCAACTTCTATAACATTTATAGATAAGAATAAAATACTTAGTTAGGTGTTAATAATAAATCTCTTCGATTTATCTAACAAACCAACACAATTCGTTAGAAATCGGAACAAAAGATTGTGCAATAAAACCGTACACAAATACTTATTCTCGAATCTTTCCTCTGCGTGAAACAAGATTCGATAATAGTCTCACTGGGGCCGTTAACTCAGGTCACTCGATTCCTACACGACTATCGATTCCCCGTATCGATACATATTTGTTTTTCTATATCGATCCCGCGTAAGTAATTACACAAGACTAATAACATCCTCGCATGTGTTTCTCAGCGATTCCCACGTGACTGTCGAGATGAGAATCGTATCAACACGATAGTTGTACACGGTATCACCACTGATTGAGTCATAAATATGAAACATAATTATTTCGCATGCTTATAAAACAACGTACTATTTTACGCCATTAAAACTACAAAAATGCGATTGGCGCTATAAATTACAAAACTACGGTTCGAATAAAATTTTCAAAGGCTCATAATTGGACTATTAACACAAAGTCTTTGTGTAAAATTCAAATCACACAATGATTACATTCTCAATACATAACACACAAAGTAATTCAAAAATTTTAAACACACCTTCGATATGCACCGCTGGTATGGATGAGTTCAAAATTTGGTAAATATACCTACTGTCTTTATTTATTATTCTTTTGTCTTATATTATTTAATTTTATGTGATGCAATTTCTAAAGCCTTTTGAAAATGAAATTACATCGCACAACAGCTCTGCAATCCTTTCTTCGCTCATTTCAAAAACGCAGATAAAGCTAATTGAAGGAATTGTAAAGCTGTTTGTACAGAACAATATTGTGTTCAAGCACTACGATGTTTTAGTTATATTTGTTCTGATTGTAGTCTCTAGGCACCTAATTAGTGACTAATTAGAGTTGCACAAGCACTATACGAATGTAGAACACTTTCTAAGTCGCACCTCTATTAGTGCACTTCTTCCTGCACTTTCTATTCACTTATGTTACGTATTAAATGTTTAATGAATAAGTTCCTGAAAATCATTCCTTGAGAGTACATTTCAATTTATTGAAAACGCAAGCTTCAGAGGCACCCGGTGTACTTACTATACGAGCTGATTCCGATTTACTCATTCAATGAAAACCTTGAATGGATGTACTGACTTTTACATTCAGTAGGAATTACGAATAAACATCGCTCCAAATAATATTTTCAATAATAAAGTAATACAGAGAGCGACGCGTATCATAGTCAAGTACAAACGCCGTATTTCTGTTCGTATTTTTTTGTTACGCGCTATGCAGGAAATTAGCTTCTATTGCGATGTCGACGCTTTTGGTAAAGCGGGTGAAACGAGGGCGTTTTCAGTGCGCCCACAGCCCGCCTCATGGCGGCGACCAGACGAAAATGTAATTAAAAATTCCGAGAGCATTTTGCGCGGCGCTCGCAACAAGATAGTGTTGCTGGCTCGAGGATCGTTGTCGTGACTGCCTCTTGGGAAGCATTCGCTTGTAATTAGACTTGTTCGTTGAAAGTCTTCATTGTTTACAAACAACATCACACGTGTAACGGATAATCGTGACAGGAATGCGGCGTTTATGTGCCATTTTTATTTTTCAATGTACTTACAAGGTTTTTTTACTCCATGCACACTTTGGACGCCAAATTTTTGGTGTTGTCTGCTCACGCACGGATTGCCGCGGGTAGGTAGCGTGGATCAAAGCGGACACGAAGGCGATTCTGGCGATACACGAGCACGTGATTACGAACAATGCGCGGCTGAGCGTCACGCACAATGACTACAACACGTGGACGCTCAACATAAGAGGTGTGAAGCGAGAGGACAGAGGACAATATATGTGCCAAGTTAACACTGACCCAATGAAAATGCAGGTAAAGTGCTCCTAATTCCAACCATTAAATGTTCCTTCCCAGGATTTATTTTAGAGTGAGTATTCCGTGTATGTGCATTGGTACTGTTACTTCGTGTACTGTGGCATCCCGTTACGAAAATGTCAGTAGTTTTTCGGAACGACTCTTGCAGTTTGTGAATGCGCCTTATCAGCTTGCCCGCGCCGCGTAGGTAATGGTGTCACTTCTCCGAAATCAGTATTGACGCCATAATCAGAGTAACAATGCATGCGAGTGCGGAAACATGCAACACTTTAAATCAACAAATTTGCATGACGGAAAATAATGATTGTTATTGTATGAATAAAAAATTATCCTACGGGTTATTGATTCCAGTGATTTACACAAATGTGTGTGTAAATTCACCGTAAAAATGTTAATCCTGTAAATAATTTTCAGACTGCATTTTTGGAAGTAGTAATCCCTCCAGACATAATATACGAAGAAACTTCTGGAGATATGATGGTACCAGAAGGTGGTTCCGCTAAGCTGGTCTGCAAAGCCAGGGGATATCCTCCGCCTAAGATAGTTTGGCGCAGAGAGGACGGAGGAGACATTATATCAAGAGGAGGACCACAAGGAAAGACGAAAGGTATGTCTAAAGATTTTCATAAAATCTTGAGATATCAATGTTAGGTTTTTATTTTGATTTGTGGTACTTAATACAATTTCAAAACTAAAAAATTTTTGCCAATCAAAAATATACGTTCTAGAGTGATATACGATATTCGGATTTGTCGTTGTCATTGCCGCTTTGTAGACAGTTTTAATTATTTCTAGGCAAGTATTCATCATTTGTAGACTGATTATTGTTTTTGAAGAATGCATTCATTCGTCAAATGACGCAACGTGAACAGTTAGTCTCATTCCTATCATATAAATCGTTCCCTATAACATTCAATAGAGGACAATGACCTGTCATAAATGTAACTCAATAACTGTAGCCAGTCAATTCATATTGTACGCACCGCAACATATCTTGATGGTTCCGTACGCCAGGCGAGATCTTAATAGTCTAGTAACTCAATACACTAGCTGCGATGCAATCTATAAATTCAATATGTTACTATTAAATATGACTTGGAACATAGACATATGCAAGGGAACTGCGTGGAAACTTGTCGGCTAAGTTTAATTCATCGCTAATGCCTTGTTCGCACTACGCTTGACATTTAGTCAAGTAGCTAGTATTTAGTAGCTCCGATTTTGGAATAGAAGAAGATAGAGACATAACATAACATCACGCCTTTTATCCTCGAAGGGGTAGGCAGAGGTGCACATTATACCACTGCACAATGTAACACCCACTTTTCACTATTTATGTTATGAGTCCCATGTAATAGGGGGTGAGCCTATTGCCATATACCGGGCACAGTTCCAGACTCCGTGCTACTACTGAGAATTTTTTTAAAACCCAGTAATACTTTGTCCGACCCGGGAATCGAACCCGAGACCCCTTGCTCGGCAGTCGCAATTGCGACCACTCAGCCAACGAGGCAGTTAGGCAGAAGAAGAGAGAGCTATAGTTTATTTATGAGTTAGGCTCGCGAACGAACAGACGGATTACCTGATGATAAGCAATAGCATCGGCCGCTTGTGGACACCCGCAACACCAGGGAAGTAACAATTGCGTGCATGGGATCAGGGATTTGAGAGATCAGGAGTAGGGCCTCCGGTAATCTCACTCACCCTAAACACAGCGCAAGCGTTGTTTCACGCTGATTTTCTGTGAGGCCGTGGTATCACTGTCGAACTGACACGTTCGTGTTGAAGCATGCTTCTCACACACTTAAAATACTCGGTACTCGACTAAAATACTAGCGTACTTCGAACAAGGCATAAGCGTAATTCAGTAACTTAGACTAGAACTTACGTCACTAGTCGGAACTATTAGCTGTAAACATCCATTTAATTCGTGGTTTGATTCCCAATTGTGTGTTCATGTATTTCTAGTTCAGTTCGGTTACTGGTTGGTTTAAGTTAGACTGAGGGCTATTTTGATGTTTCAATCGTTTGTCTGATTCAAGGCCTGAACTCGAAACTTTTATCTTTCCAGTTGCTATGACTTGCATCTTAACTAATAAGTTTTCATTTCAAAATAGGTCAATAATTTGTTCGCATTAAGAATGCAGTGAATCATCAGTGCAACTGTAAGATAAAGGTGTATTCACAGTGGTGTGAAATTCAAACAAATTATCTTTTTAAAAAGTTTCAGTTAAATGAATTTATAAAAATACACTTAAACGTATAAAATCAGTTTAGGGGCGGGGCTAGGCCGACATACAATGATGACTTACTGCATTCATACACGAATGTACTATACCTAGTATTATATCTGACCTACTTTATAACACTAAAACTGAGAGAAAATCTTGAACTTGTAACAGTCGACAATCCTATCTACATTACAATGGATTACTAATATAAAGAAATATATAAAGACTAGCTTATTTATGAACCACAAAATGATTATAAATTAAAGTACAAATCACGCAATTATGTTAACATTGAACAATCCGTTAGTTTCTACAAATAGGTACATTTAATCCTATTCCGATTCGATTAATTAAATAGCAGTGTAATGTCAACAGCCGTTGTCAACACATTTTAACAATTAATATTCATTACTAAAAGTCCTAATTGCGAATGAATTGGACGAGCACGTCGTTTGAGCTTTTGACAGTTTTATGAAAGTACTAGCTTCTGTCTGCGGTTTTACCTGCTTCATCAACAGCCCCTTAGAGTCTACTGCCAGACCATGGGGATCCTCTACAAAAAAAAGTGGTTTCCATAATCTCCACGCATGATAAACGGGTTGGAGATCGCAATTTCAAAAGATTTAGGTTTATCAGAGAACACTGGCTCTTGTGCCGTGGTGGTCCGAAGGTTAATACGCCCGCTTCTCATGCATGAGGGTGCAGGTTCGAAATCTACCACCGACAAATACCAATGTGACTTTTTCCGAGTTATATGTGCTTTCTAAGAAACGGTGAAGGAAAACATCGTGAGGAAACCTGGGCTTATAATTAACCGACTTCTTTCTAACTATAAGTTTGATATGAGGCAACCCGCATTAAGCAAGCGTGGTGATTAATGCTCAAACCTTCTCCGTGTGAGAAGAGGCCTTTGGTCAGCAGTGGTAACTTATAGGTTTCTCCCACGTAACTATCATAAATGGGACCTTATATGAGTATGTTATTTTAGTTATTTTACAGACTTATTTAAAAAAAACCTTGCCCTACACTAGGATTCTCTCCTGTATCGTGGGTGCGATACAAGTTCACATACACATGAGACCCAGACCCGGAACAATAAATAATTTGTGTATCACATAAAAAGTTGCGCGGCAGCCGGTTGCCCAGCCACCACACCAACCGTACAGTCAAATCAAGTTAAAGTCACTTTAAATATTGTCTGCTTGATCATCAATTTTCACTTTTTTTTTTAATTTTCAATCATGAGTTATTTCTTAACTGGATAAAATTGGCATTTGTCAGTTATTAGTATAGAAGAATTGTCAAGTATTCAAAGTTATTCCTAAGATAAAATTTAGCTGGGTATTGAAAAATCGGTAAAGCATAATTTCCAAAACTATACTACCTAATAATAGCAATTTTGTAAGTACCATGCGAAATTTACGTTCATACTAAGGTCACTGGCGCTTGCGTGCTATCAGCGTATCATTTAGTTCTATGAAGGAACTTAAGGCCTCTTAACACGATAACTACTGATTAATCTATTGTTAAACTCACACTAACAAATGCTGACTTATTTGTGTTCCAGTTTGTATGCAGTTAACTTTAATGAAAACTGTTGGTAATAAAAATCTTGTGGTATATTTGTTTAATAACTTATAATAAAACATTTACCTATGTTAACACACGCACTTATAATCGACGGCTTACTGCTTGTTAATAGAGAGTAATGACCAAAACTATTGGCGCAATTTTTTACAAGAATAACACAAAGTCATATTATTAAAATAAAGCACATAAAAAGTTCTTCAATCACTTTATGAACAAGAAACAAAGGAATAATCCACCTTTTTCTTGAGAGGGGAAAATCATTCAATGACTTCTCCCACCTTGGGTTGGCGAGAGGGAGTGTCAGACTTTTACTGACTAAAAACCACTCCATTCCTACTCCTGCTCTTCGAGCCTAGCCCCGGCAACCCATTAGGCCTTCCGCGGCTCCGCCTAGATCACAACTTGTGCAAAAAAAAACATTACCTCAATTGACATCTATAGTCGCTTAAAACCTATTGTAAATGCGCATTACAAAATTCACACCAGCAGTAATATTTCTATTAAAAGTATAATAATGCATGAAAATGCATGCTATGTTCAAAGGTTCATATAACTTGTGCGGCTTGACCCTCCTCAAACTGTGGCCCACAGCTAGGCACAGCTTAACCTAACCCAGTTTCTGTATTATTCACTAAACTATTCCAGCTTAAAACGTCGTTAAGCACATTAGTTTTAGAAGCATTACTTGCGGGTATGATGACGGGAACTTATACCTCAGGTTAGCTGCTAAACGTTTTACTGTTAAGTACCTTTGATGTGCTAAAAAAGTGGTTGTGTGATACTTTTTCATTAAAAACTTTCGCATTTATGTCGTTATCCAATGAATAATATCACACAAAACCTATTGTGTATTAATAGACACATCTTTAGCCACTAAAGTATCTAAAATATACATTAAATAATATCTTTCTCATTATAAATACAATGTAAGTATCTGTCAGTAAGTCTTGTATCTGAATATTCAACAGTCCTTTAACAGTCCATGTTAAAAGGCTTGAACGACTTCAAGAAACGGCTAACAAATAAATCAGAGCTTAAAATATTCACTATTGAATCTTAGCAGTAAATCACACCGCAGCACCTCAGGAACTCCTATTATCATTCACACCGCCCTTCCTAATCCCGCCGGATTACAATCTCGAGACGGTCCGGGAATAATTACTTACCTACTCATCTCTGCACTCGGTCAAATAAAAGCTGGATAAAGGGTTATCACTGAGCCCCCAAATTAACCGCCGAGTTCAAATAAACCATTCTACATTCAAATACGAAAGTCACATTTATGCACTTTTATTTTTGATATGGCAATAAAATTAATCGAGCGTTGCCTAAATTTTGAATGGCCATTCCATTTATGAAATTGAAAACGTAACGGATTATTTTTGGAATACAAACGATGCAATGGAACATTGTTTGGATTGGACTATAGGAAAAGTACAAAAATTATGCCAGCACAAGGGGAATTCGTGACGAGTGGCAATTGGAAACTGTACTGACAGGGTGATTAATCAGCAGGTCCCACTTAACCCTACCACTGTTCAGACCTCCTCTTGCCATCAGTCAATTCATTAAGCTAACAAAGTACCTACTACCGGTAATGACTTTCACAACGAGCCGAGCACTTCAATACTACTGCTAAGATTAGAGCTCACTTAGATCTATACAATTCTCTCCGGACGAAACTAGTGTCAATACATCCTGCATTTAAGGACTAGAATTGAATAAAAACCATCTTCAGAAGCCCGTCTCATTAAAAAATCTTAAGTGGGTTTTAGACAATTCTATATACATAAACAATTATTCATTTTCATTGTGCCAGTAAAATATTTTGCGTACTAGTTTTCAAAATAGCCCAATAACAGCGTAATGAACGACAGATGAATATTAAATAACGGTGTAAAATTAACAATTACTCTTTTGTTTAAAACTTTTCTGAAATTAAAGCAAACTAAAAACTAATTAACGAAATCAATTTATATAATCCGTTCACAGCGAAGCCTAACACACTAGCAGAACTCAAAAACCATGAACTTTCTCAATTATCCGTAATTCAATGAGTGGCAAGGTGAAACCCGCCTCAACCAATTTTAAATTAACTAACATCAATAACAATCATCAATTTGAGTAAAGAAGTCTAATTAAAGAAGCCGTTACAAGTTACCTCCATAAATCTGAACAGGAAACAATACAAGCTATCCATTACTTACGCCTATGTTCACGAATATTCCAATGAGGAAACTTTCAGGCCGACCAAGACAAATATAGTTTTTTAACGACTAGCACGGGCCACTTTCCAATTTGTTATCTCCCAATGAGGGCCAACTTCAACCATATAAATCAAATTTAAGTGCAAGAATTTAATATTGTCGTGATATACGATATTGCTGCATCGATGTAGCTAACTAATAGCTTTCGCGTGTCGCAGGTTTGTGAAACCATAATTTTAAAGTAAATTAGCTCGTTATCAATTGAAGCGAAAAATTCAATTTCACCTCTTTGTTATGATTTTCCTTTTTCTATTTTTAAGAATGCTTCGGTTTTATTTCATTACCATCTTTTACTTTTCTTTAAAATGTTTTAGACTACATTTTTTATTTATTAATCTTGTAATCGTTAAACACATTAACGGTCCGCTTTGTTCCGAATACAAATTCGAAAATCTCGAGACAATCACATTTTAGTAGATCCGAGGAGAACAGAGAACGAGCATGTTGTGTAGGTAACAATAATGATAGCGACGACAGAAAACAGCGTCGGCAACAATAGGGTATTATTCAAAATTTGCCCTTTATTGTTTCGCATAAAACATGTTCGTGGTGACAACGGCGTGTCGCGTGCCTATTTGTTTCATGTTCAACACCAAATTATGCAGATAAGCGAATGAATGGTGGAAACTTAGTCGTAGACTGATGCAAATTAACTCCACCATCCTTCCATTCGACGGTTTTCATCAGTACCACGAAGTTTGAAACAGATACGCCTACATTCTACGGTAGCCAGATTGTTAATCCCAATTATCGAGTAAGTTGTTCGGCCATGCTATTCGATTTCATAACAATTGTTTGTGGTTCAGACAAAAGTTCCTAGCGATCACACCAATTAATAGAAAGTCCATTAAGTACAGTGTTTCTCCTTATTAAATTCAAGTACTTTCCTTAGAAGGGGTGGTACACCCTCCCTAATACAAAATAAATAATTACCCACTCAGTACAGAACGTTTCGAATTCATAATTAAAATTATAACTTTGGAACAAGGAGTGATGAGAAAATGTTGGTTTTCCATTTTACTCGAGGACACTTTAGCAAAGTACTGGACTTTTGTCGCCTTTACCGTAGACTTTGGCGGTGACGCGATTAGTGCCAATATTATTAGAAAACTTTGAAAATTAACTTTGAATCTGAAATGTAATAAATTGAAATTCCTTTTATCAGTTTTATTGAGGAGTTAACGCAATACTTCATTAATTAAAAATCGTTTACCTTAAAGTCTTGGGACATAATATCGCGAAAGCCGCCGTTTCATAATTTTCACATTAAATATTTATGATCTTGTCTCATTTACGTAATGATTGTTTAATTTTATTCTTAGTGGCTATTCAATTCACTTTTTTCTTAATATAATAGACTCGCCTTCGATTTATGAATTTTGAAAACTTGTCTTTATTTTAACTTGAACAATTTATATCTTTCAAAAGTCAAGTAGTCTTTCAGAATCCACCAAAAATCCTTTTATAAATTGACTAAGTAGGGAGGTATTATTAAGGGATTTCTTTATAGACTAAAAGTAATTTACTACTTTGTAAAATACGACTTTACTCAAGAGTTAAGTCCTACTTTACAAGGTTAATAATTTGGAAACAAAAATACTAGTAAGTATAAGCTTCATAATAGGTACTCTAAATAATTAGACAAGTACACGTGATTCAAAAAAGTTTTTATATCAGGCTCCTTTGTAAGATTTTGTGTGTCTATGGCAAAACCACTAGGGGTCTGTGGGGCTCAAGCGTCACTTGACTTATGACACATTGACAGGCCAAGTTTATTCAACGGTCCGCTTCGAAGACAGCACAGAAATCAATGGAGTTCCTAGCAAACTAGACGATACTAAAATTTTATTTTTTGAAGAATATTAGGGTGTTTTATCGGTTATATTTTTGTGGAAAGTTGTTATTTCTTTTAAATAGTATTTTCTGTGAAATGGTACGAACAAAGATTAAGTACGGAATAATGCAATATTACACCTAAGAGTTATTATCTGAATTACAATCGCTTACCTAAACCTATCACACTATACTTACAAAAAATTGTGTGTATAAAAATTGTTTAACAACATTCATAAAATAAGTAATTTAATATAAGTACTTTAATATTATCCAGCAAATAAATTGATCAAACAAATGAAAAGCATTAAAATATACCAGCCTAAAAATATACCCAACTAATTCTATTACGTATCACAAAGCGACTCCACAGCGGGCGCTGTGCGCGCATTGTTTGCTAACGAAGCTTCGTCCCGCCACCGAGAGCTCTACACTTTAAACCATCAACGGTGTACAGCTCCTTCGGAAAATATTGCCCTAGCTTTTTATCCTCTTGTTTGAATAATGGCTGTAAACGTACTTGGCCGCCATTCCAGCAAGGTGTCAGGAAAACAGCTCGAGTTCGAACCACTAACGGGACTTGTTTACACAACCCGTCAACTTTTGGCGGTTCACAAGTGTTTTCCAACAGTTACTGGCGGAATGTAATGTAAGCACTTCGATAGATAGTGCTCAAAACCATTTTCGTCGGTCTTTGCTTTATCAATTTCGTTGTGTACGTAGGTTAGAGTTGTTAGAATTTACCTATTTTTGGGTTACATGGAAATAACATTCAGAAAGCTTTGAAAATGATGGATAAATTTATAAATTTAGCTATTAACACGTATATCGTAACAAATCTGCTGGCTACACGAGGATTTGTTAATACATATATGTATGCACTGAACACGTGTTTCGTTCGCCCACAGGGCATCACAAATTGTTAGTCTGTGCGACACCAACTAGTTGATGTCTCGACACTGAGATTAAGTAGCGAACAGAATAACTTTTGTTTATGATTCATTTACCTTTTATATACTGTATTTAATTTATATACATAGTACGGTACTTTTATGCATAGTAATTTATAATACTATGTGTTCTGTCGTGAATATGATTATGACTTAGACACACATCCTTTCAGACTTTGTACTATAAACAGAGGATTTCTAAACGTTAGCATACCAGTTAGAAATATATACATAAAGGTGGATTTAAATGATCAACTTGCACCTGTTCATAAACTCTCTCGCGTTAATTTGTATTGACTAAATACTTTTTACTTACTCAGGATGAAAGTTTGAAAAAACTAACTTACTTCTGAAGTCTTTCCTATCGTTCAAACGTAAATCGGACTCATTTATTTCCACATCAGGTTTCAATGATAGACTGAAACTGAAAGCTCTGATTTCTTCGCCGCTTTCCTTCGATCAGTTTTTCTGCTTTTAGTTAACTCAAACGTTTTACGCTACGGTCGTCGCTGAAACCATTAGCGAAAAACTTAGGTGTATTTAACAGAGAAGTAGATATCAGTTCAAAAGATAGAATTCTAGAACTTGAAATGATTCTTTGATTTGTATATTTGAACATTTCAACATCTATCACTTTCAAAATGAAACGGTATAAATACAAAGATTTTCCTTTTATTTTTCATTTATACTTTTCACCTCAGAAAATTCCAATACGGAATCAAAAGCATCAGTCCAGTGAAAGTCATGTGCACGTGTTCCAATATAACTTGTTATTGGTCTTGACCAATGCTATGTCTTATTGCTAACCCTTACCTAATAAATTACTAACTGGCCAGAAAAACGAATTTATATTATCTTTTTTTTCGCAGTAACATCTCTGGAAGGGGAGATCGTCAACCTAACAAAGGTCACGCGCTCAGAGATGGGCGCATACTTGTGCATCGCAGCCAATGGGGTGCCTCCCTCCGTCAGCAAGAGAATAATGCTACATGTACACTGTAAGTATAAATTACAGATAAGACAACTGATACTAGAGTTAACAAATGAAACTGTTGGTTAATACCCCTACATTAACAACGACCACATTTGTCTCGCACTGAAATGAATTATTATAATTATTCGTGTCTCTAGTGTGTCGTGGGTGTAATTCTACGATGTAAGGAGATGCTAAGACCTCTAAAGGTTATGTTTAAGATATGATTATGTGATGTTTGTTACTGCTTTTAATGTCTGTGTATACTTTGAAGAGTTATGAAGAATCATAATTATGTTTTGAAGAAAACAGTGTAAATTATATCTTTATTATATTCGGTTTTCATACGACCGCAACCAAAATTTTACATTTTGTATTATAGGAATTCAAAACTGGTGTGAACAATTTTATAGCGTCAACAATGCGCGAGCGTCACCTCTAATGTAGCAAACGTCCATAAGTTATACTATGCTAACTATAGATTAGCATAGCATATCTTATGGCCGGCTTACAGACCCGGCTTACAGAAGTTGCAGCGGTTTTGGGAGGTTGTAGCGGACTTGCCCCATTAAAAAAATGCTAACTGCTTTCCATCGCCAAATCAAATGGTATAAAAAATATCTTGCAAGATTGAATTTACTCAATAAAGTTGAATCACTCATAAAAAGTTCGAAAATTAATTTTCCAGTTCAAGTCACAGAGGCCCAATAGGATTACGCATTCACAGCATGTATCAATTCAATCATTGATAAAGTCTACTCGCTTGCGTAAAGCACGAGCAAAAAGCGTTACGTTGCGAACTCACTTATCAAATGATCGCCCTAATTTATAACCAGGAGTTATTCAATGCTCCGGTGTTCCCAAGTTCTTAACTTTAGACATGGAGTGTGAAATGGATGGAGTACTAACACTTCCAACTTATGATTTTGTCATTCTATACTAATTTTTGAGAGCTACAATACCCTTAAAAAAGATCTGACCTCACTAAACCAGATTTGCTTTAAAACTTAAGCTCTATTAGCATTTGATTTGACTTTATTATCAGGATTGGTGTTTAAGGTTTAAATATAATAAACACATATTCAGTGCTGAATGAGAACACATAAATCTTAGTAATTTTTGAGGTTACCGTGTTCGCAACTTAGTCTGGCTTGGTGATTTTTATTTTTCTAAACTCACTGATAAGAGTTTTTAACAAATTCCTGTTTATTTATTAATGCTTCATATACTTATACTAGCTCATAGTCAAGACACCAGCCGAACTCTTACCTTTGACATTTCACTAGTAGGTACCTCCGACACCTCAACTCTCCATGCACTCTTTACTCCGTGTCCTCACAACACCGGGCCCGCCGGCTCGAACACGTAAGCAATTGGGAGATTTTCGTGTTATCACGTATCATCTTCGGTGCGTGTCTTGCATCAGAATTACTCGCACCAAAGCGTACAAAGTTACAGCCTCGTTGACTATTGGAATTTAGTTTTAGTACCGTTTTCAATTACAGATGAAATCGTCTGATAAATTTGAGTTACAATATTTCGGGACGCGAGGAGCGAGATAAGATATTTCTTTGTAAGTTGCTGATGTAATGTTATTTGGTTTCTTAGAAATTGAGTGTTTTATGTAAAGGTTAAGTTTTAGAAGGAGTAGCTTCGTGTTAAAAGCTGTTGTAGTATCTAAGCAGATTTCATAATTAAAATGACTTTAAGTGCCAGTACAAAATAACTTTCGACACCTGCTTTTTAATTTGTATACTGAAGAAATTGATGGCAATATAAATTTGTAATAAAAAAATCAAAATAGGTACCTACTATAGGGAACATTGGTATGTCCAAACAGAACCTTTCCAATTAATTGGAACTAAAAAGCAAATTACTGTCTCTGTAGTCGAACAGCAGTAAGTCCGAGATCTCAAAAAAAAGTATTTATCTGAAACTCTCAGTCGTAGCACAGAGTCTAAAGTATCCAGCGTTTTGGGTTAAACCCGATTCCTAGTATAGTAGAATTTATTACATAACAGAATATAACTTTACAGTCATCACTACTACTACCTTCTAGAAAATAATATTTACACACACCAAATAGAACACCCACTCTCGTCAGTTAACAACGTGTGAAAATAATCGTTCTTAAACCATTCACATTAAACACATGAAATCTACAAGCCTTTTAAACACAATATCGCATCAATTGTCCTGCAAAAAATACCGTAGGTACTATATTTAGCTTGAAGCTGCACTCAGACAAATTAATCTCCTATCTGGCCGGATCAACCGTTCGTATTCGCACACGGATCGCAAAATCACTGTTGGAATTATAGTGCGCCGCACAGGTGCATACGCCCATATCCATTTGCATTGATAGTGTTATGCTACTGGGAATTGACTGTGATCAGTTCATGAATCTGAAAACCGATGACAATGTAACTATTTTGTAATAACTGATGATTCCGCAGAAAAAACCTTAATCAGATTGGTACAGTTCACTCTAGTATAATCTTTTATTCTAGATTAGTTTAGTCACAAATTGTTTCCTGCTAACTCTGTAACGACTGCAGTTATTTCGATAAAGCTTTCAGTATTTACTGAAAGTGAGAGTAATCTAGGCATGAGGCAGTGATATTATAATTCAGATTAGTAAGATTGTTAGTGCTGGTATTTCGTTTACCTTTCACATACCTTATAATGTAGACACGAATAATGCACCAATAATTCTTATTAGTCTACTTATTAGACTAAGTCCTCTATTCTATCACTACACTAAATATAAAACACACTAACCCGAACCAAAAAGTTTCACATAATTTACCAACAGACATCCTGAAGAACAACTTCAGATAAAATAAAGGGTGTGAAACATATGACAACATAAACTAGCACCTGTGAACTAATAACCCGAGCCTGTGATTGCACATACGTCTGTATGTCCGTGTTCATTATACCATTATTCCCGAAGGTACGTTCGCTCCAAATGACTTCGAGAATGTTCTGCGAACAATGTTCAGCTTGATTATCATAGTAGTGATGATCGTGGAATGAAGACATTGTGCATATGAGGGAATAATTCTTTTTTTATAGTGAAGAAAAAAATGTGGAATAAAAAGACTGAATTATTTTAGAATTGAGATGGTGTATGATATAAATCGTTGTCTTCCATACGAGTAAGACGCATTAAGAGACATGTATTTACTAATGTTTATTAAAATACGAGTTTATGTTTAGTATCAAACGGGCTATACTTTACATTATTCAGTCATAACTAAACAAGAATTCAAATTTCAAAACAAAAAAAAATACAAAGTACTCCTTCCTGCCCTCTAACTCAAACTAAATACAAAATTACATGCTGAGTTGCGTTTAAGAACAATAAAGGAGTCAAATATTTGCCAGAAATTAAATTTCTTCTAACGCTAGCCCAAGGGAATTAAAGTTAAAGTCAAGAATAACTTTACAATAACAGTGATTGCAGTGAGCCGCAAACTAACTTGGGAATCCTGTCCATACTTTAGAAGATAAACATTTTTTAATTACTAAAAGCAGACGATAAAAAGAGCAATGTTTTCTTCGGAGGGAGTATTAAGATAGTTGGAATGCCAGTATTTACTACCTCTATAAAAGCCAGTATAACTACCATAACTGTTATGTTAATTTCGGCAAAATATATCAAACGTAAAATCTATAAAATATACCATAACTTCCGATACGTTACGGTTATTATCCCGTACCATTTTACTGACTATTTATTTATTTAATTACCGCGGTTTACACCAATTACATTAATTAATTATAGCCTCAATATGTCTGTTTGTTTGTTTTTCCTTCGCGTTGCAACTAAACGATTTTGTAGTTTGAGGCTGGATAGTGAAATAGGCTGTTCAATGGACCTGCTGAGATAATAGTTAGTACCATAAAGTTGTTTATACATCACGTGCTCTCACAACAACTTTAACAGACATTGCTTAACTTTAGGCCAGCTTATACGCACAGCTGTAACTTAGAAGCTAATTTTTTCACTAACAAATTTTAATAATATTAATATTCTCTACAAAATAACATTTGTTCAATGTATGTATTTGCAACGATCCATCAACGTTCATTGAAATTTTATAAAAGGGTTTTTATTATTACAATGATCAAACAAAGCCTTCAATCACCAAATCTGTCAGGCAAACACTCAATACTAAATTCTGTTATCTTTTTGTATACAAATTACTGACAACTTAATGAAATATTCATGATCAAATATGTGTGTGTGTGTTTGACATATTTTTTGCTAGATAATAATTCAATTACCTACCTACTGTTAGTCTTACGGTCGTAAAAACGCTGTTACATATAATGCTGTAAAAGTCTCCTTTCACCTAAATAATCTTTTACTTAATACATTTTAAAATAAGACGAATACATTTTAAAGTAAGACTAAAACTTCGTTGACCATAAATCACATAGCACACTGTTGTACACCTCTAAACTCCTCTATACTCAGAAAAACAGGCATAAATGTAGGTATAACATCATTCTATTTCTAGTTTGATTGTGTCTCGTGTTTCGCCTATAAAACTTTTTCGTACAGTAAGCGGGTCACTGGACGCCCCAACGCATTGTCCACTACGTATTTGCATTCTGTTATTGGCAGTCCACTGTAAACATTCTGATTGGATCCTATATTCATATGGACGAACTAAATAACTCTAGAACCGATTTAAATTTAATCACAGAATTAGATGAGTACTCAAAGTTAGTACGCTAACACCCGTAGTAAATAAAACATTCGTTTACCTTAAACCTTAATACGATTCATATTACGCTCTATAAATATACGTTTCAGATACTTGACATTTCATATCTCGTATCTATAAAATAAATAAAAGCCAACGTCGCTTAACGACAACCGAGAGAAATTCACTTCATAGGAAACGCAATTTCAAGCGAACAAACAAACTACTGCCGTCTGAAACCCTTCCACTCAGTTTAATTACTTCACAAAGAATGCGTCGCGTTCGCTCGATGAGGAGACAAAATTAACGCTCTCAAATATTTAATTTAAATTTCCTCCCCCGAAAACGAATGATAACAGCGGGTTGGGTGGACTTGTGGCCGCGAGTGTACATAAAAACACTTTTTAGAAGCAGAAGTGAAGCAATTCATTTGTAACGTAAGTGCTAAGTAACGCGATGAGTTTCTTTTAGTTGATTCACTGGAACCGGAACGACGGTAAATTGAGTTTAGAGAAAAAGAAACAAGCTAAACGAAGTGAACAAATCGCAATCAATTTGCAAAGAGGATCCAGCAGTTAAGGATAATTAATTTTAGGATATATATTCTCTTGTAGTGTTTATTCCCAGCTCGTTGTGATTTATAAGTTTGTCTACGTCTGGCTTCGGTCCCGAATGTAACGTATTTGTAAGGATTCTTTGGTTAAAACTGCAGTTCAAGAAATTCCAAAGTCAACTAGAACAGGTAATAGCAACAAAACGCCAAGAAATCCGAAAACGGCGAAAGCGTGTGCGCCGCTCGGTTAATCAAACTGTCACTTGAAGAATTCCGCGCGGAATCCTTCCCAAGAAAACTCCCCTAACTTTTGATTGCTGCGAGAATTCCTATCTACTTATACAGTTAGGGATTGCTTAATCACGTTCTTTAAGTTATACCTTTGCGGACTCAGCATACACGTAATAATTCCGTTGCTTTAACTGTTGTAAAATATAACTGAATAAAACGCAATTGCAATTAGATTAACATCTCGACTGTTCATTATTCCGCTTTATTTAATAAGCAAAAGGCTGCCCTCTAGCCCCTTGGAGTTATTAATTAGAACAAAAATTCTGATCGTTCAGATTTTGTTCGCTAAATTGGCCACTCAAACTCGTAAAAGCCGTCCAAAGGAACTTAACGACGGTCAAAGAGAATAACCGCAAATAAGCTCCGATCTAAGGTCGTGGAAGAAAATTCCGTTTTCCTTAATTCACCCTAAATAGACTTTTGGGGATGCTGGAGCGATTGTTTACATTTTCGAAATAATCCGTTCGCTTTAAGAACAACTTGACGCTTTCGTACCGACATTTCAACCTCTCGGTATCTTTTCGAATCAGGGTCTTTGTTAATTGCGAAACATCTTTTGATTCAAATAAAATCATTTTAAAAGTCTTTAGGTAACTTCCATTTTTGTTCTTATAAATGAAATAATACTTCCATAATTGTAATAAATGTTGCTATACAAGACGTTACCATGTTGAAAGTACTGAACACACCGCCATAAAGTAACAGTACGACATCTGAAACTGTAGTTTAATTGCGTGCAAATATCTAGTCTGTTAAATAGCTAAATCAAACAGAAGTAGTGCAGGCAGGCGGGATGATATTCAGTGTAAACACCTGACAGTCGCAGTGGAGTTTTACCAAAGTGGCGGAGCGAGGAGGGTAAACAGAATGCGCGAGCGACGCCGGCGGATGCGACTACGGCGCGGTGACGTGGCGACAGCGACTCGTCGCGCACTGTCAATAACAAGTTGCCAAGTAACTCATAATTTTGAGGAAACTGCTTTCTTATAACTACATGTCTTCATGTCGACTTGTCGTTTGATATAAAACTGAGAGACTTCTACATTTTAACAGACATGTTGTATTGGTCGTAGCATCGTAGCGGTGATGTAGCTGCTACGCCGTAGCTACCGTGTAGTAGATGCAACGCCAAACGCAGAGTATAATATTGTCAGTACAAACTAATCACTTTAATTTTGAAACGAACATTATACAGTAATAAATAAATATAATGTAAAAAACAGTGTTTTATGTAAAATCTGAAACTGTAAGTAAACAAAATAAACTCTGTATAAATTCGATAGTGAAACATAACTCATTACTGAACCAGATTAGATCGTATCATATTTAACGTTCACATGTAAAAGTTTATTTGCAACTAATGCGGCTCACCCGGCGATATATTAACGTCATTTCATTTATTAAAGCGAACGTTTCATTAACCTGAGCTAATAATATGACTTCACAGTGCAGTTGACTGACTAATATGAATGATTTTATATGCAAATGCAATAAATTTTGAATTGCAATCAAAATGGCTTTTGAACCATTTGCTATGAAGTATGTTCAGGGTAGTGTATTGAATTGCAATTACATAGCTCTGCAATTTTTACGAAGTTTGTTTGTTTAATGAAAAAAAGTATTTACTTGTGAATGGAATTTTACGCTAGCTTTTCGTTGTCATATCAGAATACACAATAATATTCAAAAATAAAAACAAATAACGAACACTTATTTTTAACACGTAAAAACACACGTAAGCTTGTTCATTTATTTGCATTTAGGTACGTAGAACAAGTTAGTTACTCATAGCATAATCGAAAGACCGTTGGTCAGATTTCGTATATGTATATTATTACCTACATTTCTATGTACTTCTTCAAACAATAAAGTCATATGAAGTTAACAACCATTTCGTTATTTCAAATATTATTCCAACACGTTCTCTTTATTAGTGCGAAAAGTTATAAATATAAAACAAAATGTACCGAGAGCGTGTAAGTACGCCGAATGTGCGAGGCGCATGCATGCCATGCCAAATGCAAAGGCTTTGAGCGCCTATTTATAAACGCTAGGCGAAAATAGAATGTTCTCGAAATGCAACAAAAATGTGAATGAAACCACTCACTACGCAGCTCGCTTGCACTTTGAATATTTTTATATGAAACTAAAATAGCAAAGGAAGAAGTTATTTCTTGTTTGGATACGTAGAGTTTGGAATACATATAAAATCTGGGCCATGCTTTGGCACCAATGGGCATGGCCGGTTCGATCGAAGATACCAACGTCTTCAGTCTCCGGTACTACGGTACCAAGGTGACATTATCGGAGGTGCCATTCTCCCCGTTGACTAAACCCCCAAATAATCGGCTATCCACTCGTACATCTTCTTATATTACTTACTATCCGCTGATCCGTCGACTCATTTGCCAACCTTAAAAATATTAATATTATTAAATAATTATTATTTTCTTCTTTGTCCACAGTCCATCCACTGGTGCAAGTACCAAATCAACTTGTGGGTGCTCCGACAGGCACTGACGTCACTCTGCAGTGCCATGTTGAAGCGTCACCTAAGGCCATCAACTATTGGACTAGAGAGAATGGTAAGTTAAATAAACACCCATTAATGACTGAAAATCTATAGCAGATCATATACTCTTTCCATTCGATCCAAAATACATATATTACACACATAGTGTGCGAATGGTTGGTCATTACAAATAGAACTTCTGAACATATAGTTTTGGATGTAATCTACGAATTTGAAAAATGTAGTCATTTTCTGAATTAGAAACTGTTAGACTACTGGAAAAAGACACAATCGCCATCATAGAATTAGTAAAATAATAAAAATAATAGTTTTTAACATAAGGAGTTTTTATATAAAAATATCTAAAAACAAACCATGCTAATTAAGTAATTTGTATAATATACAACAAAACTTAAAGTGTACGACTAATTACTTGAATCTGAGTGACCTTTGAAAATGATTAATGCCTGGAGTCAGCCAAAAGTTCAGTTTAACCTATGAAAGGTTGCAAAACTAGGAGCTAACTTAGATTTGTACAGTCGTCGAGTAAATCTGTTAACTAAGCGCCTGTTATGTTTGTTTTACTATTACGGAAAGGCTGTCAAAGGAAAATTTATAACATAGGAGGAATTATTAATGAATTTCTAATTTGTCCTTATGATTACAAGCTAGTACTGAGTTTAAGATACTAAGTCCAAGTATTGGTTTGAACAGAGAAAATTAACTACAATATGCTTTTGAAGAACATTTAAATTCAAATACTAACTATAAAAAGATTCTAAATCTATGGATTAGAAGAACTCAAGTCGCATTTATGATTACGTCTATAGTGTCGTCTATCAAAAAAGCTGCCCTGGTTTCATGGCAAGGACTTCATATCATTCTTATTTCCATTCATAAGATCGCAAGATATCAGACCTTTAGCTAAACCTAGAAAATGAATGGCCATTTTTCCCAAGAATAATACTGCCCACTTCTCAAGTTAAACATTGACTTCTTCATAAATTTCTATTTAATGAATTAGAGTAAAAATAACTCTTGAAAATTACACTGAAAAAGCAAAGTTTGAGAAGCGTAAATAAATCTCCTGGTGTTTAGTTTTATGGTGTCTAAAGTTGGACCTTCGAGACGACTAAGTGTAAAGTGTGTGGACTACAAAGAAACACTGCTTCTGCTTTGCTCAACACGTCTCGAAACTTTGCACTGCATATTGATTGCTTAAAACGGTACTGTTTGAATATAGTTCTAAACTTATTTTTGGAAATTTGGTCTAAGAGACGATGAGACATAATTGACAAAAAGTGCACTAAATAAGATCAGCACCAGTACATCAACAGCTCATGAATACCCACTGCTGAGCAAAGCCTCTTCTCACACGGAGGAGGTTTGAGCTTTAATCACCACACTTGCTCAATGGGTTGGCGATTACAAACGTATAATTAGAAATTATAAGCCCAGGTTTCCTCACGATGTTATCCTTCACCGTTTGTCAGTGGCGTCTAGATAATCTTAGAAAGAACATATAACTTGGAAAAAGTCGCTTTGGTACTTGCCGTTGGTAGGTTTCGAACCCGCACCCTTACGCATGAGAAACAGGCGTCTTAAACCTCCAGGTCACCACGACATTACGTCTTTCGTGAAATAACTATCGTAATGATACTACTGCAAAATAGTGCATTGCGCTTTTTAGGAATTCAGTATTTAGATTAATATATTAATGAAGACATTACTTACATACCTCTAACATACGAAACAAACAGGTCCTCATACATATACACAAACCACTTGAGAATCAATTTACGCTTCACCAATACGAACCACAGCCCCGTGTATAAACATTAGCCTCACAAAAAAGTAGATCAAAAGATTTAATTGATATACGAGGTTTTTCCTATTTCACGGTTCCTTAATCAAAGTCCAAAATCAGTTAACCCAAGCCATAATTAGTATAATCTCTGATTGTGTTCTAAAGATGTTTACGGCTTGCGTAACTCATAAAGTATATTAAGTACGAAGCACGAACCTCGTGAACGGAATAAGCAACTAATTTCATTATTCATAAAGCACATTGAAAGCGTTAAAGCAGTCATTAAAACGACCGTTTTTCATGTTTCTACTATCCTCTTTGACAGGCTACGGGGGCTAGTGCTTGCTTACAAGTTATTGCCTTTTTATGAACGTATTTAAAGGGAAAAATTATGCGGTTATTTCATGTCCGTTTTTCATTTCACTAAGATTTATTTCTACTTTGATTACATGGCGCCTATACCACAGCTTATTAACGACCTCATAATTATAGCCGCGATGACAACATAAAATATTGCCCTACTACGAATTAATAAATGATGCCTGTTTAATATCTAAGAATTGAATAGTTCCGTTCTGATAAAGAAATTGTTTCAAATTAGTTTTCGACACAAAAATGAAGTCGTAATTTTCCTTTATTGGCTTACATTAAAAACCTAATTCTATTATTTTAAATTAAACCTAGTCTCTAACTTTTATACAGTAAGATTACTATTTCAAGAAATAACTTCGTTGGAGCCCATTTCAGTATTATTAAGTAAGTCGGTTAACATAAATAGCTGACGTCAAAAGGCGAACTAAATTGGTCCCAGTGAAATATAACCTGTAAAATACCTATATAAAAACACGTGCTAACTAATACAAATAAGGCTCTTAACCTAACAAAACATCAGAGAGGTCGGCAACTTCATTATTTCTCATTAAAATGACACCCGCAGGATAAAAGTTGCTTATTTAGTGTTTGGGTGACAGATGGACAAAAGCGCTCGAGAGAAGCGGAGGGAGATGTTCCACAGATAAGCTCAATATTTACTTTACGTTTGTTTTATGTATGTAGATGTACGAAATAAAGATGAAATGTGAGAGATTATATCGAGACTTTAACAAACTGACCCGACACCGCGCACGCCCTCATATATCCAAATATTCATAAAACTGACCATGCAACTCGCATTTGTATAATTTCGCTATGTTTATGTAATAGATGCAGAATATTGACATTAGTTCAGAGAGCCAGCAAAAAAATAAAAAAGTGTCAACCCTATTATTATTTTCACTTTAACTGTGTTTGAAGACAGGCCACTACAATTGGAATTCGACATGCCAAAATACGTGTTAGTCGAAGCGCTAGTTTTCAAGTGGATAATGCGTTGCAACAAACAGCCGGCACGGTCGGCGGACAACGGCCGGCCACTAAAGTCGAGTTAGAAATGGATTTACGGGTTGCGGGCCGTCCGGCGCCGTCCAGTGCCGTCCTCCGCCGTTCGCAGTCATCTGCTAGCCGCGACCGCACCGCATGCCGCGACATGTGTGAACGGTCCTCGACCAAAGCCCGATAAAACGAACAAAACTTTTTCGCAATGCGGTCTTTAAACTTATATTTTTTTTCGGTCTAATCGAACAGTTTATGCGGTCCAATGCGAGTGCAGTCAGAGTTTGTTGAAAGTTAGACGCATTGAAATTGAGATTTAAAACGATTTTTCCCGAAGAATATAAAACGAATTTTCTGGTGCGACGCGCCAATGCCGTGCTTTCTAGGATAGGACAAACTAAAGAGATGGGTACAAAACATTGAAAAGTTAAAAGAAAACAAATCAACAAAAATAAATAATAACTGAATAGATACATTGCCAATAAAACAATAAAAAATATATTGCCCACACATATAGATAAAAGAAATCACGTACTTACTTACCCGATATTTAAATTACAAACGGAAATTATTATTATTTCATTTAAATATAAGGACGAATTCACGCTGGTGTAGATTATTATTATTAATGAACAGTGAGTCTTAATAAACCATACAAATAATCCACAACGTCTTTAGCGGAAATAAACAACCCAATTTCTCTACGCTATAGGATTAGTACGAAATAATTGGTTATATCGTAGCAAACCGACGCATAGTGCAGGCAGATTTAGATGCAGTTACAAAGGCAACCGAGCTCGCTATTACGCGGTCGAAGCGACCACCCGCGCAAAAAGCGGACCAAATTCTATTACCGCCCGATATGCAACAAAGACCGCTGGCCCGCCCGCTTCAAATTGCTTTAGGGCACAGTCACAATATTTACTCTCACGTACGTACCACATATTCGTACAAATCTAAATTCAATTTCAAATATTACTCGCCGACACTAAACCGGCCGGATTTATGCAGGTTTAGTTTTCTATTCCAACAACCCGAAACACGTGATCACTTAAAACTCACAGTACGAAAATACGGACTACCTAATTATTGTTGTCATGCAAAATAATTTTACAAAAGATCACATTTAGGAGTCCGCTTTTGATCTCTCGCACTTTCTCCCTCACGCATTTGCACATTTAAATATTCATTATACCATATTAATATTCATTATTTTGACGGCATTCAATTTTTGTATGATCTGCAGTACGGCATTTTAATGCAAAGAGTAAAACTTGGTTAGAATGCAAGTTAAAATGTGATGAATGTAGAGTCGTTATCACCTCGTGTAACTGCGAAACTTTTTGAGCAATTTAACAATCAAATTGTAAAGTGACGTATGGCACATATGTCTGGACCGTTAGCAACAAACAGAGGGGGTAGACGGCTCTTCTGCGGCCCATAAATTGCGGGGACTACAAATTAAATTAGGTAATACACGGCCGTGACGAGATGGGACAAGCGGCGTGCCGGCCGCACCGGACATGGAATGGGAGTGTCCGCCATTCGCAGCCAGGCCTTGCGACAACTTTTTGTTGTAATTTCAATCGGGTTTTATTTAAATAAAATTGCATACTTTAGCGCCGCTTTATGTACGTGGTACTGGTTATTTATCAGTAAAGTTTTTTAACGGAACATTTTTTTCATTTTCATTTATTAGCTCTGTTATCTTTAAATTGTGCTGGAATAATGAAACATGAGTAGGGAAAAATATGTTCATTATTTATTACCAATGGATTAACTCACTACACAACACCGAAAAACAAACGAAAACAGAACTATCTCACAAAATTAACAATTAATCTTCATTCCAACATCTCAACATCACGGAGACCATTCATTATAATTCGATACGC